TTTCGTTTCTAATTGTTTGATTCAAATCTGTTTTATGCCAGTCGAGTTTTACTAAACATGATGAAAGCAAAATTTCTTCCTGCTGGTAGATATAATTTTTTTCCGAGTCACAAAGTCACATTTTCCCGAAAAGGAGCAAAACATTGAAGATTATGGTGAGTTTAAACGAACTGAGAAAAACGTCAAAGGAGCGAAATAGAGAAATGACCACCACCAAAACAAGAACATCAAATATGTGCACAAATGGCTTGCCATAATACCTTTCCTCCGGCCACAGAGGTACGCTACTCGGTTGTAAACGGGAATCAAGTCGCGTCACTTTCTCAGAGCTTTTTCGGGTCATATAAACAATTCACAAGAGAATGCGCGATTTCTACAAACATTCAAATAACTATTTCTTCATCAAACTACAAATTGTAAAATCACATAGTTCATTGTTGTTCTGCAGTGAGCGATAAAACTCCACGTCCACGTGGCTTAAGTGAAACATTTTGACCACTCTTTTCCAGGAGACCGTGCAGACATTTAAAGAACACGGTAAACTGAGCCGTTTTGCAGCAATCGGGAGCGACGTCAGCGGTTACGGTCGCTCAGTGAGCCTGGCAGTGAGGTGATCTTCCTGGCCAATCACAGCCCTGCCTTGCAGCACAGCCGATGTTGGCTGTTGAAGAAAGAGACCCATAAGCGAGACTGTGTTAAAAGGATGTGGCTGACTGGTGGTTTCTGCTTCATATTGCTCAACATTGACAAGATATTTTTTATAATAATCATTCTCTCGAATGTTGCACAAAATTCCCCTTACTTACACATCACTCAAAATATGTTCACTTTGTTAAGCCTCCCTCTTTTGGGATTTGCCTACTTGCTTTAAAAGTTTTTACCAGTTCCTCTCTCTTCTTGTCTCTCTAATCAGTTATATTACCTTTGATTAAATTTGAATAGTTCAGGAAACGACAGTTTTCCAGTCTTGTCATGTTCTCGTCGGGATATAGACTTGGACTTTGACTGGACCATTCAAACATGAACGTGTTTTAATACTATTCCCCAAAAGATAATATTTCTCATGTGTGTCTGTGTGGCTCTAGGAACACACATGAGATTAATTAGGCCCTCCACAATGGCTAGTAATTTGGGGTCAAAGATGCAGTTTAAATATCTTTTACAAATCAGTCACGACCAGCAATCTTTGACCTTTTTCGGGGGGTTTTGGTGAAAATGTTTTACAAACAAAATAAAAAAAAACTGTTGTAAACGGACAGTGATTTAAAGTACAATAAATCATTCACCCATTCAAATACACGTTCACACACTGATGATGGTGGCAAGCTACCAGTTCCTCTGACAAGCATCAGCAGATGTGAAGCTACATGGATTGTAACAGTTTTTCGTCAAACTGGGGCACCAGAAATTTGACTAAAAAATATATAATTCCTAATCTTTTCTTAACATGGGATTTTAGGTCCACTAAATGTCAGTGAACATGTTCGTCTTTATGAAAAAGAAGCATTTTGCCAAAAGATTTAACCCCAAATATTTCTCTCAGCTGGATGGTTTACTTATACAAATATGGCCTGACGTCCCATCAGTCTTTCTGTCAGTTTCAGAGGGACCTCTAAGGATATATGAGCTTCACAGCTGTCTTTACTGACATGTTTCTAAGAACAAGCCCACTGAGAGTCGATGTAAACAACTCATGCTGGAAGTTTCACGCTCAGCATGTTTAATCACTTAGACGAGGGCCGTTTTAAAGAAAAGACAGTTTTGATGGCACATTTTTAAAAAACAAAACAAAACACACATTTATGTTATTCTGCTTCTTTATACATGCAGAAATGTAACACTGTTTGTCACATGATTGAAAATACTGAATTATCAGAACCATCTTTTGGCTTGCACCCCAACTAAATGTGAGATACTGTAGTGGTCAGCTGGAACTCTCTCAAGAAACACTCACTTTGATCAGAAACTCACAAAACTCGCAAAACCAGGCAGATTTTGCCTGAAAGCCCTCAAATATAACACTTTGTGTTAAAACGCATAAGCAAGGATAAATTGTTTTAACAGATGCAACACATGTGACATATCTGACTAACTTGAAAGCTGCTGACTGACTGATGCTACTCTGGCCTGAGAGTCGCAGAGCTCGACAGAAACATTGATTCAGAGGCTAAATTAAACTCCAAGGAGAACAAAACACATAGGACAAAGTAAGCAGGTTACAGGAAACACATTTTTGATGGCACATTTTCAAAAATAATTTTGAAAATTTTAGCTGTGAAAGTCTCTTCAAAAAAGTTTTTCTTTCCAATTTTATGTGCAAAGTGGGATTTTGGGACATTGGCAGTGATGTTGATTGTGATTACTTTTACATTTTTTTAATTATAATGATGTAAAAAGTTATTAGTTTTTTCATCCCTCATACAAATTCTTAGGTTCACTGCATAAGATAAAACATTTTCATATATTGGAAAATAAGATACATATTTTTATTATATTATAAATAGAATATGTGGATTTGTGTGATGCACATGCATTATAAATGAAAGCAAATTGTACATGGAAGTCCCAAAGGGCCACCATTTCTTGCATTTAATTTAAGACATTGTGTTAATACAGAAAAGCTTCCCTCAAAGCACACAAACTCACTGCATTTTATTGAATTTGCATAAACATAGCCAGAGTTATAGAATAATAATTGCACCATAATATAAAGAAACTTAAGAAGGTTGAATAAAAAGTGATTTTGAAAGAAAAATTTAGCCTTTAGACATTTCAGAAACTTTTCAGTCTGAGCTACAAGTTGTCATCTTGCGTGACAAATTTGCTGTTTTGATCACGGTATTGCGATGTCCTCATGAACAGGGTGAGAAGATCACGTGATCGCTGGAGCGTTTACCCTATCCTCCAACCCAGCCTGGCAACCTGTTACCCCCACCCTCTCCTGGCCTCTTGACACTCTTCCCAGATTTCACTTGTACCAGGTCGCTTTACATGTGGGATTAACTAAACACACCCGGCATCTTGGATAGTCCCTGTTATTTGAACCTATTGGGTGACTTCTATAACCGGTCTTCAATATTTAACTCGGACCTAAATTTGCATTGGAACAGAATGCTCTAGCTGGAAAGAACAAAGTGCTGTAATCCCCGTTGTTTCTTTCACACACGCTTGTAACTTGTAAAACACGTTACCCAGCTCCAGGTGGTGTCAGTAGAATATTGCTGAACGGCCACATCGAGCTCATCTTCGTCCACTGATATCATGAGTTAAATCTCAGAAACAGGAAGGCTGGAATGTCCTCAAAGTTGCGACTTGCAACGGGTCTTCGCTACGTTCTTGAACATGCGTCTGTACGCTCCGAGCACGGCGACTGTCTGACTGTCAAGTGCAAGTGAACGCTGTCTTACTAAATTTACCTGGGACCCCCAGTTGGAAACCTGAGTCAGCCCTCGAGTGTGCATCTTCCATTGGAACCTCTGACTTCTTAGGCATTTGTTGGGATTGCTGGGATATTTTGACGAAATGTTATTCCTAGAAGTTTTTCATGATTTCACACCGGTCGGACAGCTGACCTCCCCACTGAGGAGTTCAAACGCATGCCTGTCAGTCTTTTCAATGAGTTAATTTTCTTAATTACTTAGGAGAAAGGCTATAAAATGCTTGACATTTATTGCCCCATGGAAGACCACAATATTGTCGTCAATCACATTCAGTTCAGGCCACCTGTTACGTGAGCACATGGTACACAGTGACCACTGTAAATAATATGACCCTGTTATCGCCCAGGTGTTTTGCGTGCCAAGAAAGTTAACGCCACAATACAGCGCCTTGCCAAAGTATTTATTCTGCCTTAATTTTTAAATTATGTTTAAAGTTACACCCACAAACTTTAATATATTTTCTTGGGATTTTATATGAGATTTTGAAGTTGAAGATATATTTTAATTAGAAAACTAGCTCAAGAGAGCATCAGGCATTTGTCTTCGGTCCCTTTTATACTGACACCACTAAATGAAACCCAGTCAAGCAAAAAAAATAAAATAAATAATAATAATAAAAGGAAGAGTAACTCTGGAGGAGCTGTGGAAATTAATATGTCAGATGTAAAAATATGCCAACAGAATATTAGTTGTGTATTCCACATGTCTGGCCTTTATGGAAAATGAGAAGAAAAATAGTTTTTGTGTAAGAACGTCACAACTCCTGTTTGCAGATTATGTTACACGTTTCCGCTTGGTTGATATCACATTTACATCCAATCCAAGGACCAAATCCTGAAACTTTATCTGAAAGTTTCATAACCAATAGGTTGATGGTTCGAAGCCGCACTTTATCTACTTCAGTTGTCTCCTTGGGCAAAACAACTGCATGTGGTGGTCAGAGGACCTGAAATTGGTGCATGAATGAATGTGTATTAGTGGGTGACTGATTGCATTGTAAAATCCTTGGACTAAATGAAATGCTGTACAAATACAGGTCTCTTAAAAACTCTGAAAAGGTCAGCCTGTGCGTGTGCAAATCTGGTACAGTCAAGAGTCATGCAGTTTTTCCCTGAGTCAAAGCGACTAAACACAAATTAACCAAATGTATAATTTCCCTTGCAGGTCACATTTATATCCTGATTTATGTCTATCATAATGCACCGACGTTTGTAGTTGTAACAGGCAGATGTTTTAAAAGTTAAAGGGGCATGAAATAGCTTTAACACTGGTGGGAATACTTGTGACTACAGCACACTCTGGTGTTTAACATGGGTAAGTACATTCTAGTACAAATTACAAATTGCCATCACTTTTTCTGTGTGTGTGTTTTATTTAAAATGTTTTTAGCATATAGAGTAATATATACGTGCGCCAAAATATATGCAATCATGTTTTCATATAGATGGAATTCAAATGTAGAACTTTTTTGTTAAGTAAGTGACAATGGAATCTTTAATGTCAATGTTCCATTTTCCCGAAGTACCTGAAGGCAGCACCGGCTCTAGTCGTTTATCCAGCTAACTGACTGCTAGCTTTTGTATCAATATGGAGTCCGGCTGTTTGTTTGTTGTTTCTGGCTAATAACCCGCTGGCACTTGGTGGCTTTAATGTTCCGTGCAGGTCACCTACAAACCATCGGCAAAGCGGGAACTGGCTGGTAGGTGGTCTTTGAAAAAAAAAAACACTGAGACGTAGGATAACTCATCGCTCACGTTCATTGAACTCGCGTGGATCAGCTGGTTGCAGAGCACACGGGCTAGCTACATCAACAGGCTAGCATCGAAGCTTTCCTGAATGTCGAATGGGGGTTTTAATTGTTTATATTGACGGCGATTCTCGCAGCAGAACAATCAGTTATGTATTCACGCTTATCGCTTGCTAGACGGGAAGCAGTCGTGTCTTTATTATGCGTTCATTGACGTGGACTGCTCCAACTAACAAGAAAACGTTAGCTTACGAAGCTAGGTAGTGAAACCGCTGGCGATAGAAGAGATCTGCTCTAAATTCATAGAAACGCCGCCGTTTTTATAGATTTCTAGCAGCTGTTACAACGTAAGTAACAGTCAATGCGTCTATTGTTGAAACCATCTTCCAGAAAAAGAGTCATTTATTTTTGTCTTGTCTGTGCCTCGCTGTTTTTGTTAGTCAGCGTTAAATATTGTAAATAAATGTATTGCTACTTCCGTTTGTTGTTTATGGGGTTCTATCCGAGAGGAAATGCATTTGCATCTCCCAAAGCAAATGCTTATCTTCTCATGTAAAGCGTTTACCTTTCTAAATGGCAAACAAACGTGAATAATCATGTTCAACATTCGCCCTCCTTCCCAGGCACTTTCACCGGACAATGGACGAGCTGGTCCATGATCTGGTGTCAGCACTGGAGGAGAGCTCAGAGCAAGCTGCCCGGGGTGGCTTCGGCGATGGCGGGGACCACGCGCTGGCGGTGGGTTGTCTGCTGAAGAGGCAAGCTCGGAAGCGCAGGGGCAGGAAACGACGCTCAGACAATCCCCATCCGCCCTGGGAGACGGGCCACCTCAGCGAGGGGTCAGAGTCCAGCGTGGAGGAGCATAAGGTGAGGCTGGGGGCGTGTCCTGGCTGCTGGAGAGGTTTTACTAGTCAGGCAAGCTTTCATGTGGATCCCACAGGTGTTTTTGTACTCTGGTCACTGTATCAGCGTCATCCTTTTCATCTTTAGACAGTGAATTGGATCTATCCTTGCTGACATTCGAGCACCTTTCAACGTCTCACAACTTACCAAGCATGCCACATTTCTTTGTTGCCACCAGGACTACCGTGCCAGCTCAGGAGGTGTTTCCGCTGCCAACAGCCACGCCCGTGACAACAGCGACTCTGATGACCAGCTTGGCCCCAAAAGACGACCGCCCCACGCTACCGACCTGGGACGAAGCAAGCGACCAATTTGGCCTGACGACCTGGCCGTCCTGGGGTCAGCAGAGGGAACTCGCAGCCTTAGACGCCGGCGTAAGGTCAAACGTATGGCTGTGGACCCGCCGGTAGAACCAGAACCTCACTCCTCCATCCTGCTCGGGCCCCCGCCGGTCCCCAAGGCCCGTGTCGGCAGCAGGGCGCACAGACTCTGTGGTACCGAGAGTAGGGGCGCCATGGAGCTTTGTGGAAGTGGCCTGCTGGCGTCTGTAGGAGAAAAGAACCGAGTGAAGAAGAGAAAACTGGCAATGCAAAGACTGGGGCTGGAAGCTGCAGATGAAGGGGTGGTTGTTGAGAGCGAAGACCCTCTGTCTTCACCAAAAGAAAGATCTAAAGAGAAGATGGAGCTGGACGAGCAAAAGGGCTCAGATGAGGACATGAGTGACAGGTGGTTAGTGTTTTGGCTTTCTTTTTACTATTTCAGCTGATTTTCAAACCCCCACCTTTGTTTCTGTTATTGACGAGAGTTTAATTTTAGATCCGGTTTGTATTTTGACTAATTTTGCATCCACTGTGTTTATACTGTACATTTAATGACCCTTTGTTGTCTTTTACAGTGAGACCAGCAGCGTCAGCAACAGCAGTGATGGTGGCCTGTATACTAATGATGAGGGGAGGCAAGGTGTGTGCGTAGTCCTGTTCTTCTCTAGGTTTTAATCTGAATCTCTCCTTTAGAGGAACAACATGTAAATAACCTCTGATGTACGCTACAAGTGTTTTTCTGGACTGGACAAGAAAAGAAAAAAAGCTAAAATAAATATATTGCCAATCTTCATTAATCCTTTAATCATTAGATATATTTATCCTTCTAATTTGTAGCATATTTAAATCCCAATTACTGCAGAAGTATCTGCCAGAAGTTGATGGTGAAACTTTTTTTTTTATCTAGTTTGAAAATTGCCCCAAAACAAACGAAATAAAAAAGAACAAACACAGTTTCTATCTTTGCTCCAGGTGATGATGAACAGAGTGATTGGTTCTGTGAGGGAGAACCGGGGTCCGGATCTGGGCCCGGTGGTGCATGTGGGATAGCAGGAGTGGTTCCCTGGTGGGAGAGGGAGGCGACGTCGGAGGAGCTGGACCTCGCCGACCCGGTCTTCAGCAGCATTCTCACAGGATCCTTTCCTCTCCTGAGCCCCGCTGCACAGAGAGGTACGTTATGAACTGCTGTAAAGATGCATGTCGTTATGTCATTCTTGACCGATAGGGAGCAAAACAAAAAAAGTGGAAAAATTTACTACTTATTTATAAAAAAAAAATCTTTGTTCTTTTTTTTGTCGTCTCTCAGTAGGAAGAAGATGCATTTAAATTAGTTTTCCATTTATTTGAGCACTCTTTTTAAAAGCCAAAAAGTATGAATCCAAGATGAATTTGAATTTAGTTTAATCTTATTGGCCAAATGAAATTAGATCAAAAGTGAGTTGATCTGTGAATAAACTTGCATTGATGTTGGACAGGGTTCCAGGCCAGGTTGAGTCGTCTTCATGGAAGCCAGCAGGGATCCGAGGTGGGGCTTCCAGGAAGCTCCGGTCAGGGCTTCAGCGAAAGGCTGAGCCAAGATCCACATGAGTGAGTTACTGCCTGCTACTAAATCTGAATTTATTTATTTTCTTTTGTCACCCTTTTGAAATGTTATGTTCGTAGAGGAATTTGGGTTGTCTTTTGTATTGAGAAATGTGACCAAATTATTAATAACATATCTCAACAAAGATCCAGGTTTATCTTTCCTTTTCTTTTGATTCGATTCAAGTCCTTCCTTCCTTATAGTTGTTCCACCAGTCTCCAGGTTTCAAGCCTTCCTGCTGTACCAGGAAATGCGATAAATTCATTCATTACATTCAAAATGTACATAAAATAATGTGAATTCTGAAACAAGAACAGAGAGTTTATCATCCAGATGTTTCAATTGCACCATTTCTTCCTAATCAGGCCTTGGTTTAACGCAAGCTCAAGGCGGGACCATGGACAGGTGAGCTATGTTTCAAACTGGTCGAAATGCTAAGCTGGAATCTTTCAGATTGCCTATAAGATAAAATTTTGTCCTTTTTCTTTCTGTCTTTTATCTGCCACTGCAGTTGCACTGGGATCCGCGAACAGACAAAGGACATCGGAGGAGCTGTTCGGTTAAAACAGCAAGCAGGTGAGAATAATTTAAAACATTTCACGTACAGATAAATTAAAACTTTTTTTTTCCCTGTTGTATGCTGTCAGAATTGAAACTTAAAGCCGTTCTTGTTTCACCCACCGTTCTGCAGGCAGACCAGCGGACACCTCGGCTCTCTATGCACAGGCGACATCAAAAGGAGGCGAAAGGCAGCTCCTCTAGGTACCGTCGTTCCCTTAGGTAACTGAAGGAAACACTCTCCTGCTGCTAGTCTTTTCCTTTCACGGATCTATATGCGTCTTATCTCACGTCTTCTTTACTAAAAATATTGGGAGTCGGGCCATGACACACATAGCAAATGTTGGTAATGACAGGGGAACAAGCTGTAACCAGAACACTTGGAGACCCTGGACTGAGAAGCTTTTACTCAGCCCTGCTTACAAACAGAGGATTAAAACAGTAAGTAGTTAGCCTCTGTGACTAAAGCAATGTTCCTAGAAAACAGAGAACAGCAAGACTATTATCCAAGGCGGAAGTCAGTCCTTACTTGTCCGGATGCAGTTGTTGCACGACAGAAAGTGTGGCTAAGTCAATTACCTGGTTACGTTTGTGGAAAGGCAGGACATACAAGCAAGACCGAATGCCTAATCTGTGCGATAACAGCAAGGGTTTTAACTTTTGAAGTAACCAGGATTACAAACTTTTCAGTGGACTTTAGGTGACCTGTCTGTGGCTCATACTATAAGGGAAATAGCAGTTGTGGCTCATGTTCCAGATACGTTTGTGTGTGGCTGTTTCCTTATTCTCTGACTCCATCTAAACTTTACATTTGATGCATGGTCTCAAAACTCTTGAATGAATTTGGTAGCATATTCTTCCAGGAACAATATGTTGTTAGAGCATTTTTTAAAAAACAGTTTCTCATTCTACTCAATTTTCCATTAATTTGCTTTCATTCAATCTTATGTGAGAAGTTAGATTCCTTAGCTACACTCTTTTTGGCTTATCCTTCTTATAACATGTTAATAATTTTATAATGATCACACTTTGGAAAGCTGTCAACGATAATCAGCATAATTATCAGAAATAAATGCTTAAATCACAACCATTTGCAACGACTCTATATTGTCAGAGTTTCTTTATTTCTTTTTTTATTTGTGTTCTGAAAAGACTTTTTGATTTGCTGGGAGTTTTTTTTTCACACAAATTTTAAATGTACCTTTTTCTTTCTTTTTTTGTTGTTGCTAACTTTAAAACATTTTCTTCTCAGGTGTGGTTGGAGAAAACGCGGCTCCTATCCCTGACACAAACATGGGGAGCCGCATGTTGCAAAGCATGGGCTGGAGCCCGGGGATGGGACTCGGCCCCGAGGGGAGGGGTATCACCGAACCCATCCGGGCCACACAGAGACCCAAAGGGGCAGGTTTAGGTTTCAACTGATCTGTCGCTTCCTGGACTCGAGACACAATACTGCAAAAAAATAAAAAATAAATAAATAAATAACATGGGGAATGTTGCAAAGCATGGGCTGATTGCTCAGATGAAATTCTCCTCAGGATGATTCTTAACCAAAGTCCTGCGAGCTGCAAGAATGAAACGGTTCTACTAAGAACGTCTGTGGTGACAAACTTTCCCCACATTGGGGAAACTTTTACAAAATCTGGAATGGAGACGCTTGACAGTAATGGGTAGAAATGAGTTCTCCACGTTGGAGAACTGGACGGTGAAGCTTGATCACATGTTACCTCAGTGTTTAAGGGCAGACTGCTGAGTCTTTGAGCTCATTCTGAGTGTGAGCCACTGACAGCGCAACCCGTTAGTCAGCCAAACTGGTTGGAACGTTGATCAGAAATGTTTTTGTTTTGTTTTTTTCCTCTGAGATTGCACAAGAGTTTTTGAATCAAATGTTTGACTAGGCCATACCTCAACACACCTTTTTAAGTTGCTTTTTTTTATCGTAATGAAGTTGGCATACTTTACATTAATGTGAGCAGACTTATCTGGATGTATGTAATAATCCATTTCATTGATTTAATTGAGGAATTTGTGTCATTAGAAAGTTTTTATTTCTCCACAAAGAGGGAAAATAATATTAAAAAAAGATCTAAATCTGTTTTTGTGTCAATTAGTGGATTTGCATGTGTCCCCTTGATTAGAGTTCAATTTTTTCAGTTAATTGTTTTAGATTTATTATTTAGTCTTGCACATTTTAAAGGGTTTTGCTTAAAGTTAACATTTATTACTTACTACACACGTTATATTTCAAAGTCAAAAGAAACGTCATGTCTGTACTGGCCAGAGAAAGTATTTGAAACGCTTTGTAAAGTTGTTTTACAAACTAAAACCTATATGTTTGTTTTTGTAGAAAACATTAAAAAACCCAAACAAATTAGGATCCTAACATAATGCTTAATTTTCTCTTTGTCAGTGTTAGAGATACAAGTGCACTGAATGCAGAAAAAAAGGCAATTGAGGTTGACAGTAACCACATGGCTGCTTAGGGTAACATAAATTTAGCCAGAATCGGCTCTCGATGGTCTGTTTAGATCGGCCATGCATGTGGCGTAATCGGTACCAAAACTGACCCAGTTGCGATTGAAACACCAGCCGCAGTACCACCTGTCATGTCAGAGGAGAAACATGCCAGTGAATGTGTCTGCCAATTTTTCTTCATTGGACAATATTAAATTATGTCTGTATTGTATGACAGACGTATTTTCACAAACACTGCTATCTGGAAGTAAATAGGTTCAACTCATTGTTTGGCTCATTCAGTTTTTTTTTTCCTCCCAGTAGGAAATGTGAGACTAGTCTAGATGGAGGGCGGGATGACAGCAGCAATATGTACAAGAAAACCCCCTTCAAAGTGCTCTGGAATGCACACAGAAAATTGAATCGTTTACCAATATGACAGTGACTCAAAGCACACAACTACACCTTAAGGTTTAATAACTCTAAGTGTTAGGCTGCTAATGGCCTGTTTATAACATTTTTACCTGCCCTAAAGGAACATTCAGGGGTCATTTCTGTTTGGCTTGTTTGTTTGGTTCCCTGTTTGACAAGAACGTTTGTTATTTCTTATATCTGCTAGCTAAAACAATTAAAAAAGAAAAAAAAAACACCAACAATTACTCAAAGTCTGCAATCCTGACCCAATGTGTGGTGTCAAATGGTGAAAAGATCTCTAATTTAAGATTTAACCCTTTTTTAACAAGAAAATTCCTGCACCCTTCCTTCTTTTTCATGAGATAACTAACCCTAAGCCCTCAGTATTTCCAGCTCTAATAAAACACACACTGACTCAACATTGCCTAAAATACAATTCAAGGATCCTCTGCATCCTTCTTCCCCCCCTCACATCTTTAGCATGGCTGCAACAGAAAACCGTCCTCTGACTGCATCCAGAGAGAAGCAGGAGCACCGTGTGTCCTCTGCCCGTCGGTCCACCCCGCATTTAAAGGGGGGAGCATTCAGCTGGGTTCTCCCTCCTCCGCTCCCTCCCTTAGACACACTTTCTGTTTGACACGCTCACTCAGGACTCCCCTGTGAGCGAACCGGGGCAGGTGAACTCAGCACTGGATCTGCGAGGGATGCTGAGAGGAAGGAAAGAGGGAGAGGGGGGGAAATCTGCGTGTGTGTGTTTATGAATTTGTGTGCACGCTGCTGCATCGCTGAGCTACAGAGACCGGAGGCGAGGAGAGCTGGAGCGTTTGTCCTTGAGACCGACTGACTGCAGCTGGAAAGCAGAGCCACTGAACAGCCGACCAGCCATTGGATGAAACTGACAGTAAGTACCGAGCAGAAGCTGTGAGATGAGCAAACCAGAAGGAGCAAATGTGGGTTTTATTGCAGTTGCAGCGAATGTACTGATGTCTTTTTTTCTTTCTTTTTGCTCTTGTCTGCTTAGAAACAGTCCAGTGTGGTCTTTGAGCTGAAATGGGTGTGTGTGTGTGTGTGTGTGTGTGTGTGTGTGTGTGTGTGCGTGTGTGTGTGTGTGTGTGGCTAAATATCTACTTTGAACCTTGGTGAACTCTGCCTTTTTATCCCATCCACACTTCATTTAAAACCTTCATGGGTGACTTTGTGAGCACTTCAGCAAATTGTTCAGCTGCTAAACGCATCTGCAGCAGCATTTGTCCAAGTGTGCTGCATCTAAACAAAAAAAAAAAAAAAAAAAACTGTCACCAAATATTACTGTCCAGAACAATTTTTTCTTCCTTGTCTGTTTCTATTGATAGATGAATTGTAATCGGTAGGCAATATGTGTAATTTTGCAAATGATTAACTTTTGATTGCCTTTGGTGTGGCTGGGAATTAGTAGGCCATCCTGGACAGGCTAACTGGGTGAGAGGATGACCAGAGGGTGGGGGTCCCTGAAAGAGCACTATGAAGTGGGGACAGGAGGAAGAGCCAGGGTGAAAAACTGAAACATCCTAGTGGCTCAGCATACAGAACCTAATCAATCTAATGACATGAGACGAAGAAGGAGGGACAGAAAAGAAACACAGATGGACAGATGGGATTAAAGGAACAAGGTTTAAAGTAAAAGTTTGGGGAATACACATAATAAAAATTATCAAAATGTACATTTATTTTGGTTATTTAGTTAAAATAGCACATTAATTTATGTAGAAAGTTATTTTAAGTACTTATTGTTTTTTCATTTTAACAATTATAATTTGGAGCTAATAAAAAAAAATACAAAAAATAGGTTTGTTGAAAAAAAAAAGGAATCGTAGATAAAAGGACAATATTTTTTCATGGCATAGTGACTTTCTTATCATTTTGTTTGCTGGAAAACCATGGGAAAGACTGCAAATGTAAGAGTTGGAAAAGATGAACATGTTAGTGGAAGGTTTAGTGGAAGGAAAAAGTAAAGTTTATGAAAAAGGATGCTCGAGCAACAGGGATAGATAACTGCAGTCTGGATTTGATAGGATTTTGAAGAAAGGCCTTTTTAAGAGTTTGGGGAATACACATAATAAAACAATGTCATTATGGGCCCTTTTTTCCCCAAGGAGGCTTTTATGTGGGGGGGAAAGAGAGGAAACGCTTGACTGTTGTTCAGTAGCCCAAATACTAAAAGAGTAATAACTGAGGAATTGATACATATCTGTAGAGTGTATGGAAACTTCTCTATTTGCTGACATCTCTGTATTCTAAGTTCTTTTTTAAATTAGATTTATGTAGCATGACATTATTTTAATATAATGCTGCATAAAGAATTTAATTTTGGATTTTTGTTTTTTTATTTTTTTAACAAATTCAATTCAGTTTATTTAGCACAAATTCACACATCATCTCAAGCCACTTTATAAAAAAAAGTAATTTCAATCTGTAGCACATACACTCCAACTGAACCTAGTTATCAAAGAGTTCATTAAGTTCAGGTCATCATTTTTTTTTTTTTCCTAGTTCATTATTCAAATCGCTAAAAAATTTTATCTAAGGAATCCCAGCAGAGTGCTTTGAGTCACTGACTTCACTCTTCCTGCAGGAGTTTGCAGTGAGATACGATAGATTGCATTGTGGTGTTGATGTTACAGCAATCCTTCATACTCAACATGCATGTCGCGACAGTGGAGAGGAAAAAACTTCCCTTCAACAGGAACAAACCTCCAGCAGAACTGAGCGGCCGTCTGTCACAACAAACAACTGGGGGTTTGAAAAGAGAGAGCGGATAAAAAGAAACAGGAGAGCAGATGCATGAGAACTTTCAAAGCTGATGAAACTTCAAAAGTTCATCTCAGCAGAGGAAGAAGCAGTTTCTTTTTCAGAGATTTCGTGTTCAAATATAATTTTGAGACGTGCCTGGGATCTAACTTATGGGGCTCATCAGACACTTTGTGTCACTGTGTGTCAGGAAACCATTTGAGTTTCACTTTTTCCAACTGATTTGCAGAAATTAATTCAGAATAATCGTATCTATGTGTAGATGCAGCTTATACTACCTTTTCTGGAGCAGGACATTATCCACCAAAAGATGAGTGGTGGAGCTGCTGACAGCCATCAAAAAGGCGGGCAGATGAAGAGGAAGCCCGGGCCTGAACGCATAGAAGTAGCCCTACTTTCCTCTGTCTCTGTGTGTTTTCTGTTGACTTGTTCAGCCATGACATGCTGACTCTGAGCCAGAGGGCTAAATTTGCCACCTGTGGAGATAAAAGTGATATGATGAGTTCGGGAGTGCATACATTGTCTCTGAGTGAGTGTGGGTATGTGAAAGTGTCTGGAAGAGCTCCTGACATCAGCATTAAACACGTGCGCTGCTGACTCCCAGGTTTCTGTGTGTGTGCTGGACCCGCAGTGGTGGCTCCTCACCTGGGATGAGTCTGGGAAACAGGTGCAGAAGTAAAAAAGCAGCTCTGATAAGTAAGCAAGAAGCTGACACAATGGTATTATTATCTTATTGTGGTGAAACCAATTGCAAGTACTTATAGGTTGTATTTTTTAAATTAACTACTCCAAATAAATCTTGACAGAGGCACTTTCTTGCTCAGCAAGGAGATGTGGAAGGTGAACTTCAGCCCATTTTCTGACTTTTACATCCTCTAACAGGTTTTCTTCCAGCATGTCCTCTATTAAGTTCTATCCAAAGTCTCATCAACTCTGTACAAATAGCGTTACCCTGCTGGAGATTACTTATAGACTGTTTTCAGTTCAGGGAAATGACTGATGTTAAATTCTTTTGATAACTCATTAATTCCCTTTACAAACACATAAGAACATGCAGTGTTCATTCTTAAGGCTTCAGACAGCTCTTACAATCTCACTGATTATCTGTGAAACAGATATTTAAGGCTGTAAATGTGAAAATCAATGTTGTTTTAAGAAATGCTATGTGTGCCACATGTTTTAATATCTGCATACAAAATCTTTGTGGTTATAATAATTATGACATCAAACCCATACTGTATCGTTTATGGCACACAAAGCTTTGAGAAAACAAGGTGACATTTCTATTGTGAAATTATTTTGTGAGAAGCAACAATTTTAGAAAACATAGTTGTCTTTGAAAAATTTCTAATACTTAACTGCTGAAGATAAGTGAATAAAAGACAAATCGGTTTAAGACCGGATTTTACTGAGAAGTTGACGATCCTGTTGACAATAAGATATGACTCTTCCACCATATAAAGAAAAGGGGCAGAAGAAGATGACCAACAGATGACCATTTAATCCAATCCTGCTTGTTGAGAATATGAAGGGTATTTGTTGCCGTAATCCATATTATGTTGTTAGGAGAAGCTTGGTTACATGGACTAATCACCCTGAGGGCCTCCAGACGGGCAACTGCCGGAGGCAATAAGTCCGGATCGCACGATAGAGCTGAGGGTTGAATTCTCAGCTCTGGTGAATCATCATCATTTATGATCAAGCTGCACTTGTTTTGTCCCTTTAATAGAAAGAATTTCTCCTCTAGGGGGCAATCCAGTCAAGTTATTACAGAACGGGCCTGAAGCTGAAAAAGGATTCATCAGTGTGCCTCCTGGTCTCAGATAGTCATTAAACGAGCTTAAATTTCTGCACATGAAATCCAGCCTGCCTGAAAGCCTTCCTGTGCGTATAAGGTTCCCTGCATTTCCTTTGCAGTGTGACTGTATGATGCACAGAGAAGTGAAAACCATTTGAGGACCATTGACCCACCGTGGAGAAGCAGCAGCGAGTCCCAGTAGATCTGAGTGACATTTCAGTGGTTTCGTTTCTTTAGGCTCCTCTCGGAGGGTTTCTAGGGTTTCTGCCGTGGATGTATGTGTGAGCG